AAGGAGAACAATATAGGAACACAGCAAAAGATGCAATGGCGTTTGAAAAAAATAAGAATTTAGCCCTAACTGTAGAACATTCTTGGATATAACAAAGCAAATATCAGTTTAATCGTAAAATATTGGTAATGGTAAAATATTACCCAATTTCCATTAAATTGGGTAAAGGATGAGTTTCTGGCTAATACTCCTAATTTTCAACATAATGATATTTATTTTAAGAAAAGTAAAGAAATAATAAGTATTTGAAAAGAAAAATTCATTTTTATTCATAGATATGACTGAATACTTAGGAATCCCACATTCTATTAAAAATATAAATAGATTAGCAGTTTTTGGTTAGGTTGAAAATATCCAAATATAATATGATGGTACAAGGGGGGAAATTATCAGTATGATAAGATAAATCATGAATGTACTTTAAAAACTCACTCTAGGAAAAAGGCACCATACACAAGAAGGAAAGAATCAAGGTCCAGGGTATATGTGTATATTCTATAAATCAGTAAGTTGAGAAAATGGGCAAAAGAAACAAACAGGAAAGTCACAGAAAATAAAACGATTGGCCAATAAATACATATACAAGATACTTAACGGGCTAGTTAAAAAAATAAATATATTTTTAAGTAGACAAGTAGACTTACAGGACATTACATTTTCAGTTATCAGATGATAAATTACAACAGTAGAGAGCAGCATTTAGTAAAGGCCCTAGTACATATAAGCTACGACTGTGCAATTACAGACTGCTAATTACAGACTGCTGTTTACAAACTCCATCTGAAACTCACAATATTCAAGCTAGAGTTTGACTTAATAGTGAAAAATTATCAGTAGCCTCAATATTGATCAATTGAGTTTTAAAACATTTAGGAATATTCCAGCTTCAGCTGGAAGGTTTTTCCTTTTGTAAAAGGTAACAGTACTATGTGTACAGAAAAAGGCAGCTAATTGCATGTCTTCACGTGAGGTGACTGCTGACCCACTAGGGCTCCTTCACATGACACAGTGACTGAAGTTCCAGTTTGAGAGTCACCCGTTTAGGTTCTGGCAGCACTTCAGCATATGGTTTCACATTCAAATTTTAGCAGACATGGGGAATGGAAGTTCCAGTGTATCTAATATTTAGATACACTGGGTGATGACAAGGCTTCAACACAGCACACACTCCGGTCTTTTGAGAGGCTGACCATGTGCTTTTAAAGGTTGTTCCAAGAGCAGGATTTAGTATTCAGTGCTTCATTGACTTATCTGAGAATACAAACCATTTTTCAAGTACCATCAAGTACCAGTGGTATTCTGACCTATAGCAAAACCATTCTGCATTGTGTTACGTGTATACACAATCCCCTTACAATTGCATAGGGGAAATGATGTCAAGGAATGATTCCCTGTGTGAACACAAGGGGTCTGGATGAGCAGATTATAATAACTGATAACATTAACACTACAGACTTTTGGCTGACAATGCATAATGTGAGATGTTCGTTAGTTTGTAAAGGTAATGATTCTTTTATAGGGCTGGAAGTGATTTTAGGTAGCTAACAACTGTAAGCTGCATTTCTAGTTCCAAAATGTTAAAAAATAATTCCATCAATAAAATTGATGGAATCATATATATATAATTCATCCCATTTGCAAAACAACATATAAAGCTTAGAAAAATCAAAAGAAAAAACAGGGAGTTAGACCAATGCTCCTTTTCTTTGTCTAGAATATATTGATCCAGAAGAGTTCCAAATTGACTGTTTCAGAAAAATTACTTTCTGTTGCACAACTGTTTTAAAGTTAAAGAGCTACTGTCAAAATGTTGTGACAAAAATTCTATTAAACATGTAACAATGGATGAAAATTTTTATTAGGAATAAAATCTTCCTTGATATTTTTATTGAGGAGCCGTTAGTTAGACTGTACATTTTAAGCACAGAGATCTTGTTTTCAGTTGTCTTTTTAAAATTCAGATTTCCTGCATCATGTAGGGTCATGTTTGATAAACAATACTCTTTACAAATATAATTCATCTAAAAACGTGTTAGAGATTTGTAAATATTTTGGTATAAACATGCGTTAACTTTTAATTTAAAAAATTTCCTTCATCTCTCTATCTATCCTTGTTGTTAGTCATGATTCTATAATGGTGTCATCTTTTAAAATTTTTCTTGACTTTATTTACTGATTTAGTTCATGTTCCACAGAAAGGGCAGGGGGTGGGTGGGTTAAGTAAAAACTACATTTTTATTTCCAAATCATTAATCTCTATATCTAGTTTTATTGATTTTCTTAATATTGTTATGGAGTTTATTTTGCTTTCTTCTAGCCTCATAAGTTAACTATTGCTTCTATCCAAAGCTTTATTAACTATCTCTAGCCTTTAACAGGCATTGTATAGATGCCATGGATAGATGAACAAAATAAAATTTTGTTTCAATCCTGATTTCCTGCATGCATTAAAGGGATTATATTTTCAAATGAATGTATCAATGTAACACCAATCAAGTTTCTAATTGCAAAATGGATCTTTTCAATGGAGAGCTGGTAGTTGCCACCTTAGTATAAATAATAATGTAAAAAACTGACATTTGTGCTTTCAGAAGTATGCAGCATCAATCATGAAATGTTCTGGCCCAAAATGTTTAATCTCAACTTAATGAAGTCTCTGGACATAATTTCCAATTTATAGGAAAAATAAGGGACATATCAACGAGTTAAACCATACCATGAGGATACAAATCAAGAATGTGGGCACTCTTTGGACAGGTTAGAAAAAAATCAAAGACATAAAGAAAATGGTGGTACTACCCTAGAGGAAAAAAAATAGGAAAAAAACCCCAAATGCAATATATTAACCTAGAGTAAATACTGATTAGAAAATAAATATTTATATTACAAATTTTGGAAAATCTCCAAAAGGACAATTAACTTTTTCCTATTCCATTATTAACTCCTACTTAATGTTAAATTGTGAACAGAGAATATGAATTGATGCTATTATCAAAATTTTTACACACACTAAATCATATACTTATTTCCAAAATTATTTAAAATTTAATAATAGATGAGTGGCTTTGAGAAGCTGTTCTAAATTAATTAAATCATTAGAATCTTACTCATAAAAATTAACTATCAGTAAAACAAATAATGATGGTAATACAAACAGCTCATGTTTATTGAACATAGGCTACACGCCAGATAATCTTCCAAGGTTTCACAGGTACTACTGTAATTAATCCCCATTACAGGACTATCGCGTAGGTTCCTGATGAGCACTTTACAAATGATGCCTAAAGACGATAAATATCTTGGCCAATGACACACAGGTAGTAAGATGGTAGAACAGCAATGATGACAGGTAAGGTATGTTATGGTTAAAAGCATTTCTGCATACATAACATTAACAAGTTTATCAGTATTAATTTTTGAGAGTTTTAACAATGATTGAGTGGTGTTGTGATTAAAAATATGTCTGCAAATGGTTTGACATTTCTTCCTTCGAAAACTGAAGCTGAATTCCTCTCCTACTGAATGTGGGCTGGACTTACTGACTCGCTGCTAATGAACAGAATGTGGCAGGGGTGACTCCAAGGCTAGATTGTAACAAGGATCATTTCTGAGAAAAGCCAATTATCACGTCCCAAGGACTCACACACGACACATGGAGAGGTCCTATTGGAGAGGAAATAACTTGCCAGTATGAACTTCCCAGCCACATAACTAAGCCATCTTTGACAGCAGATCTTCCAGCCCCACTCAAGCCTGGAGATAACTGCAACCTCAGGAGACCCCTAGAACCGCCAGCCTGGCTGCTCCCAAATTACTGACCCACAGAAATGCGAGAAAAATACACATTTATTCAGATTTTAAGCCACTAATTTTGGGAGTACTTTGGAATGCAGCGAGAGATAACTGACACAGATTTTGGTGCCTAGAAGAGGATGCGAGTGAAACAAAATAAAACGTCAGGGTGGCTTTGGGTTCACAAAGTGGGTGGAACCTAGAAGGGCCTTGAAGATACTGTTAGCAGACACTTGGAGGCTTCTGTGGAGGCTACTAGTGAGGGCTTACAGAAAACTGAGAAAAATGTCACTGGAGACGGGGGCAAAGGGATCCTTGCTGTGTAGTAGCAGACAGTCTAGTGACATCATCGCATGTGGTAACGTGAAAGTAGAAAATATACCTCATGAACTGGGTGATTTAGCCAAGGAGACATCCAGGCAGAGTGCTGAAGGCGCCATCTAGCTTCTTGCTGCCTCGAGTAAAGTGCAAAAAGTTAGATCAGGTGAAGAAGGTCTGGTAAACACAAGTAAACCAAGACTGCTGGTTTTGGAAATTCTCAGCCTCTTCAGAAGGCAAATGATGCTAAACTTTAGAAATAGTCTTTGGACACAGATCAAATCCGGGGCTCTGTTAGGAAAATATAACCTAAAGGTACGAGAGGGTGTGTGTTCACCTGGGTCCTCTGAAGAGCAAACAACTCAGGACCAGATACACACAGGAGACTGGGGTAACTGCCTAGAAAGGGAAAAGAGGAGAACCAGGGAGGCAGTGTGAGTCTTCAGGCTCTGATGAAGTCTGACAACCCTGAAGAAGAGAGGACGAAGGGAGATTGTGTAGGAAAAAACTATTCAAGTGCTTGCAGTTCTAAGACATGCGTTCCAGCCAGGCTAATGGGGAGTTCTTGATCCGGTTGCACAGTTGAGGAGGTCCAGATCTCACAAGAATTGACCTGCATTAGTACCCCACTGTTCTCAGAAAACTGGCTGGGGGCAGCCCGTGACAGCCTGGCCTCTACATTAACATGGTGGTTACTTCAGACAGGGAGCAGGTGGGGATATCAGTCAATTATACTCCTCCCAGCATGATCTGGCCTCCGTAGAGTAGGACTATAAAAAACCCTTGGTTAAGACCGCAGAAGTGATACCCAAGAGAATCAACATTCAGTGAAATTCTCTTTTATAAAAGGGCCTGTCAGAAGCCTCAGCTGCTATTAGAGATGAGCTGATCTGACTGAGCGAGAGAGTGAATGAGCAAGTGAGCATGAGCACCAGGAGAAAGCTCTCGTGCACATTCTGTTCATTAGAAGCAAGTGACTAGGTTCAGCTCACATTTAAAGGAAGGGGAATTAGGCTTCAGTTTTGAAGGGTGCAGTTTCAAATAATTTGTGGATATATTTTTAAAACATCACCACTGGTTCTCAGAGTACGAACTGTTTATATTCTTACCTCATGTAAAATAAGCTCAAGAAGCCCCAGAGTCTCATCCATTTACAGCCTCAACTCCAAGTCCAGGATTTCCTCATCTGTATCAGGTCCACTGTGGATGAGGATGGCTTTCTCCTGATTCTCTCTCTCTCAGCCCACAGCCAATGTGAGTGAGCCCCCTTGGGGCAGATCCTTCAGTCCCTAGTCAAGCCTTCAGATGACTTCAGTCTCACGAAAAACCCAATCCAGACGCACTCAACCAAGTCACCTCTGAGTTTCTGACCCACAGAAACTGTGAGAATTGTTTATTGTTGTGATAAGCCATTAAGACATGGGGTAATTTGTAACACAGCCATTGATAACTAATACAGAAGGCTTTTTTTAAGCCATGCATGAAATTAACAAATTTAATTAAAAATTCCATGCCATGCATGTTGTAGGCATGAAGAAATTGGGATTCCCATTTTTTTCTTAATTTGCCATTGTTTGAATAGTCAGATATTCCATTAAAACAGGAGTGGCACTGAAGGCTTTCTAAAGTGGCATGAACTGCATTATGAATTCTCTTGTTTGGTAAAGACATACCTCAAAGACTAACTTTCAGTCATTTCTTACCAGTGTGAATTGTCTGAGGTTAACAAAGCTTGGGCCATGCCTAAAGGCATTCTCCTATTCCGTGTGTTCTTAGAGTCTCATATCTGTATGACTTCCCTGATGTGCTTTAAGGGCTGAACCATATCTGAAGGCCTTCCCACACTTCTTACACACATATGGTTTTTCACCAGTGTGAATTCTCTCATGTTGAACAAGGTTTGAAGCACGACTGAAAGCCTTCCCACATTCCTTACATCCATAGGGTTTCCCACCAGTATGAATTTTCTGATGTTGTGTAAGGTATCCATACATTTTAAAGGCCTTTCCACATTCCTGACATTCATAGGGCTTTTGGTCAGCATGAATGCTCTGATGTGCAGTAAGGTGTGAACTACGTCTAAAGGTCTTCCCACATTCCTTACATTCAAAAGGTTTCTCATCAGTATGGATACTCTCATGCAGAGTAAGATTTCTATAGAAAGTAAAGGTTTTTCTACAAACCTTACACTCATAGGGTTTCACGCCAGTATGAATTTTCTGATGTTGATTAAGATACCCATGCAAGCTAAAGGCCTTCCCACATTCCTTACATTCATAGGGCTTCTCACCAGTATGAGTTTTCTGATGCTGAACCAGGTTGGAGCCAGTACTATAGGCCTTCCCACATTCCTTACATTCAAAAAGTTTCTTACCAGTGTGAGCACTCTGATGCCGAATAAGATTTCTATACAAGGTAAAAGTTTTTTTACACTCCTTACACTCATAGGGTTTCACACCAGTATGAATTTTCTGATGTTGATTAAGATACCCATGCAAACTAAAGGCCTTTCCACATTCCTTACATTCATAGGGCTTTTCACCAGTGTGAGTTTTCTGATGTTGAAAAAATTTTGAGCCAGTAGTATAGGCCTTCCCACACTGCCTACATTCAAAAAGTTTCTCACCAGTATGAATATTCTGATGCCGAGTAAGATTTCTATACAAGGTAAAGGTTTTCTTACATTCCTTACATTCATATGGTTTCCCACCTTTATGAATTCTTTGATGTAGAATAAGGTATGAGGCAGTGGTATAGCCCTTCCCACATTCTCTACATTCATATGGTTTTTTACCAGTATGAACACTCTGATGTACAGTAAGTTGATGACCTTTTCTGAAGGCCTTCCCACATTTCTCACATACATATGGTTTCTCAACAGTATGAATTTGCCTGTGTTCAACAAGGTTTGAGCGCCTACTGAAAGCCTTCCCACATTCCTGACATTTATAGGGTTTCTCGCCAGTATGAATTCTTTGATGAATTCTAAGGTGTCCACCTTGACTAAAGGCCTTCCCACATTCCTGACATTCATAAGGCTTCCCCCCAGTGTGAATTCTCTCATGCTGAACAATGTGTGAGGCATAAATAAAGGCCTTCCCGCATTCCCTACATTCATAGGTTTTCTCACCAGTATGAAATCTCTGATGTACAGTAAGTTGATAACCACTTTTAAAGTTCTTCCCACATTCTGTACATTCATAGGGTTTCTCACCAGTATGAAATCTTTGATGTAGAGTAAGTTGATAGCTACTACGAAAGTTCTTCCCACATTCTTTGCATTCATAGGGTCTTTCACCAATATGAAACCTGTGATGTAGAATAAGTTGATAGCCACTACTAAATTTCTTCTGACATTTCTTACATTCATAGCGTTTCTCTCTGTTATATATGCTCTGATGTTGGGTAGAAGATATATCTTTTTCATAAGTGGGCATTTCTATATAGCTGATTACCTCACACTGTAAATCCAAATCTGAAACAAAAGAAGAAAACAAAAAATATTTGTATTTCTTATACCAGAGAATATGAAACTTCTATGAAAGAAATAAGAACCAACACTCATAAAAAGCGAAGGGCTTACGGAATTCTAAAACATAGTTATGAAATTTTAAAAAGGCCAAGGAGAGTTGAGAGGTATATGAGAAGTTATAGAAGATAGTGAAGTTACTGAAATTTAGGTGTGGGCCAGAATCTTTGGCAAGCTTGTTATAAATCTGGTATCCTGGCACTGTCACAGACCAAATAAATTAGAATTAAGAGGAAAAAAACCTTTATTTTGAATCTTTCTGTCACTGATTTGGTTGCAGATCAAAGTTTAAGAACTCATCCTAAGTTTCTCTAGTGATTTCTCTTTACTCTCAGAATACAGTCCAAATCTCTTTCCAAAAACAGCTGGACTCCTGCTCACCTGTATGGCTCCATGTCAAATCACTGACCCCTTTGCTCTCTATCTCCTTTCACATCCCCTCTGTTCAGCACTTAGAATGTGGTACAACCTTCCCAATCACTTAATGCTTTCCATAGACTATTTCATCTAGCCAGAGTCCTTGGACCTGGGCACTCTCTAGGCTGGATCCTTCTCATCCTTTAGGTCTCAGGATAAATATCCCACCCCTTAGAAAGGCTGACCTGTGCTAACTCTAAGTATGTCCATGTCTCTCTTTTTTTTAATATATTCTAGCACTTCATTCCTTCCACCATACCTTTGTTTTCAATTATGATATCATTCATTTCCTTATATGATATTCTCTTGATTTACATTTCCCTAAA